ATACATTTAAGGCGCAGCGAAGCACGCCGGGTAATTGCTAGTACTTAATATGGCCGAAGAGAACAAAAAAAATGAGGTTTTACTATACATATGTATGTACATGAGTTGGAATTATTCCGCTCTCAAAAATCCTGTTGCACTGTGTAAGTTCATGCTTAATTAGTAAATTATTTATTAATAATTATTTTACACGAGATTAGCCAATTAAGGTATGGAAAAATTATATTTTGTTTGAATTTTTACTTTAAGTAAGCCTCTTAGAAAGGAATATGTATTTTTTGTAGATTTTTTAATTCCTAAATATGTCCTTTATTCAAATTACGAAAATCTGACGATTTTTTGCATGGTGTTCAATTTTTTCCGAATACTGTAAGACCTTTCGCAGGGAATGTGAAAGCTTAGTTGGTCTAGACTTAACTTACCTGAAGAAATAGTGAAATATTGCTTAACCCAAACTCTCAATTTCCGTAAGGCTGTAACTTAAGATCCTAAAATCTACAGCTTCTTAAGTTTCTTATGGTAAGTTAAGTTTTGACTAACTGCCAACACAGCTTCTGATATAACAGGCTAGCCAAAATTTTAGGTAAAGTAAATTAAGTCTGGATGGTATAAAAATGCATTTGAATGTATCACCAGTTGGTCTGGCCGACTCAAATGCCCTAAAATGGTTGTTCCGCTGAGCTAAAAACATGTTCACGACAGATCAGATTACCTATTTTCAACTCTACTTTGACTTGCCTAGAAAGAATGTATACCAAAATATGGATCGGCTGCGAAATTTTCTCATGTAAATCCATTATCATACAATTTGTAGATTAGAAATTTCCGCGCCCAGTCCATATTTTTGTCTACATACATCCTTTTAAGGCAAGTCGAACTGGAGTTGAAAATAAGTAATTTGACATGTGATCAGCGTGTTTTTTACACTTTACAAATACGTTGAGCTATTCGAGAGTGATTTGGTTACGAACACATAAAATATCTGATTTTTGTATATATTTAATGCCGAATTTCCACTAGGCATTGAAATGACAAAAATGCCATGTGGAAATAAACTTAATGACACGATAATTTTTTAATGCCCGACTTTGTCATTTGCCATTACTGCCATTTAATGCCTAGTGGAAACCCAGAATAAGAGTGGTCATCACTAGCCCAGCCTTAAACTATTAAATTGCTTTTGTTATCTTTTAGATTATCTCAACGAAAAAACATTTCTTTTTGAAAGTACCGCTACATAGCAGTAAAAGTGCAAACGTGTTAACGGTGAAAGAGTGCAAATGTGCTGAAAGGCTAAAATCAACAAAAAATGCCACTCCACATTCAAAACAAATTACAAAAGCAAAAAAATGCATACCTACATTTCGACAGGCTGCACCTTTCATATGGAGGAGAAAACCGCTACGAATACATATGTATAAAAAGTGAGTGTTGGGACAAAAAGTGCAGCGAAATGTGTGACAGAGAAAAAGAAGGTGAGATA